GGGGCATCGGGCCGCGCGCCGCCTCTCCTCCCGCAGCCAGGGTAACCACAACCCCGGCCCGCGCTCCGGGGGTGGGCGAGGCGCGCTCCCCGGTCGCTAGGGTAACTACGAGCGCCCTGGAGAAAAGCAGGCCGGGGTCTCAAGTTGGGCCTCGCGGGCCCTCTCGGGTCTGCGGTGGGCGTTCCAGGGGCGGGGCCTGGCCGCAGCTCCGCCCTACCTGCAGGGGGCGCCCCAGGCTCTGCGCAGACCCCCTTCCCGCAGGCCCGGAAGTGGAGGGCGGGGCCCGGGGCGGGGCGGGGGGGGGCTGAGCTGATGCTCGCGTGTGCGCCTGCGCGCGCGGCGGGTGGCCAGGCTCTCGGAGCCGGGGGTCGCCGCGTTTCCCCGGTAGACCCCGCCCGCTCCCTATTCCCAGTCCCGGGAGCACCGACTAGCTCGTGTGCGTGTGAGGCGGGAAGTTCCGGCCCCTCGCTGCCAGGCAGCGCCCCGGGCGCTCTGGAGATGGAACCCCTTAGCTGCAGGCACATTAGCGCCGGTCCCTCCCTCCCAGGCAGCCACCACTCGGCGGCTTGGCCCGGCGAGGGAAGCGGCCGCGCCCCGGGCCCTGGGACCAGGGGGCCAGTACTGGGTTGGGGTGCGGGCGCTCTGCAGGGACCATCCACGGCGATCTCGGACCGCTCTCGCAGAGGCTGCGCGCTGCTGCCAGTGTCAGGAAAGGAAGGTTCTGAAATGGTGGGCACCTCCACCGGCACCGGAACTAGAGTGAAGGCCTCCGCCAGCTTCATTTAGGCCAGTCCCGGAGGCCTGGCCTGGGGTGCCCCATCCTGGTTTTGTTGGTGGAAAGGCTGCAGCCAGGCTTGCCAAGGCTAGGCCCGTGTCCCTGTTTGTAAAATGACTAGTGTAACTGGGAAGGATTTGAGGGTCCTTCCCCTGGGTGTCAGGGCGGTTTTTACCTAACTTTTCATTGAAGTTGTCTCCCAAGCCATCTGAGGTCACTACCGCCCTGGCGTCATGAGGCCATCACCTGTAATGTCCAGGAGGGCTACACCTGCTCAGCAGCTTCTTCTGAAGGTTCAGAGCTAAAGTCTGGCTCTGCTGTTCTTTACATTTCTCAGAGATGCTGTCCTTTCCCCTAAGCCCTCTTAAACCCACATCTAGCAGGACCTTCTCAGGTCCAGACCCTCTGGATTGCTGCAACCTTGAACAGTTTCCTGCCAGCCCTCTTTCCCACCCTGATCTTTCCCCAGCTGAGAGTCTGTTCCTATTGTCACCTTAGTGCCAACTTTGAGACATACAGGGGCCCAGGTAACCCACAGTCGTGTTAAGGTTTCCAAAGCCAAGTCCAGTTACACCCTCTTCCTCTCAGGCCAACTATCCTGTGAGCTGTCCGGCCTCTGCATGGTATCACAGCCTCATCTTGGATGCCCACCACCTCATTGGAGGAATACGGTCCTTTCTTAGGCCATATTCTTCCATCTGGCCTCTTTCATCTATTCCATTGTGCTGAGGATGTCTTCCCTAATTAGAAGCAGCAGTTAAGTCCAGGTCACTGTCTCCTGTCCTCTGCTTTTCTCTATTCCTTCTGCATAGTGACCAGTCAGTTGTTTTAGAGCCAGCTTGCATGACCCCAGCCCTGCTCCGACACTTCAGCAAGTTCTGCCTCCAAGTCTGTTCTTAGTTCCGTGTTGCAGTCAAGTACACCAGGGTTCTGTACTAGGTTACATCTGGTATTTCCAAGGGCCCAGGCCTGGTTCACTGACCTGAGCCACTCATGAGTGACTGACCCCTCCTGAATTAAGAAAACATCTGCACCAACACCCACCTCAATGCTAGAGGCCCAGCTCAAGGCTGCTTCCTCAGCAGGTGCCCCAGGACAGCCTTCCTCCTGTGCACACTGCCCCTCTGCTGTGCTCTGGCCTCAGCCTGGTCTAGCGGGTCTACCTGTCCCATGCCCCATCACCCAGGGGCCGGGAGGCAGGGACATGGGGAAAGGAAGCTGACTGAGAGGTGTGATGCTAGATACCCCTTAGGTGCTGAAGGCTGCAGAATGAGGCAAGAGAGATCAAAGCCAGAGATGACCAAGGAAAGGTGCCGGTGTAGGGCTGTCCTTTTGGGGTGGAGTAGGCATTCAGCACACCACCTGACACATGGGGTGCTCAGCAAGGCAGAGACGGCCCCGGTCAGTCCAAACATGGCCCCAAGTGCATCCTCACCTGGAAGGTAGCCAGACTTCCTTTCATCCTGGGAGCAAAAGGGGTAACAAGGAGAGCGCAAGGCAGCTGGGAACGGGGGGAGGCAAGGAGGCCACGCTGGAGGCCAGGCCACAGTGATGAGTTGTCACCAAGACTTCCTCAGGGCCAGACCGGCAGAAAACGGTCACCAGGTACAAGGAGAGTCTGAGACAGCAAGGGGTCAGGCACCATTTTTTATAAAAACGCATATTCTCATTTTCCACTCTTTAAAATCACATTCAAAAATCGGCAAAGAAACGCCCCGGGAGTGAGTAGACGGGGGGGGGGGGGCACTGACCCGGCCCAGGGAGAGGGCGCAACACCACACACGGCAGCGCGACTGGCACGAGGGGGCATGCGGTGGGCGAGGTGGCGCCATGGGCGGTGGCACTGACAGGACGTGGGCTGTGGGGCTGGACAGCCAAGGGTGCGGACACACGCGCTGGGGCAAGGAGGGCTGGCCCCAGCAGGCCCCCTCCTTGCTGTGCTACCCTCCTGCCCAGGCTGGCCGACTGTGGTCCTGGGCATATGAGCCTCACCCCGCCCAGGGTTGCGAAGACCCAGGAGCCAGGCTAGGCCGTGCGAGCCCAAACCTCAGATGCCTTTCTGTGCTCCTGGGCACTCACTGAGAGGATGAGGGGGCTGCCAAGCCCCACAGGGTCCAGGGAAGAGGGGATGGGAGCAGCAGCGACACAGGGACTTAGTCTGAACAACGGCCCAGGAACCCCAGTCACTACAGAAGGCTTCAGGGGCCAGAGAGGCAAGGGCTCTCTCCTCACCAGGCGCCAAAGCGCACAACAGGTGGGGCTCTGTCCCTGTCACAGGAGGAGCTAGGGTGGGAAAGTTCAAGTAGCATCCCTACGCTGTGCCCTCCCCCGGGATGGGGAATGCCAGGCCACTGGCAGAGCCCAGCCTGGAGAGTTAAGTGGCACAGCTCCATGTGGCTTCGCCCCAGGGAAGGGCGGGGGGCTGCTGCTCTCCCCAACAGGAAGACACTGGGATTGGGCAGCCCAGGAGTCGGGGCAAAGGGCACTGGACAGTGGCTGAGTTGGTGGCAGCAGGAGCCGAGGCAAGCAGGCCCCTCCCTGGGGGCTGGGCCAGGCTGGGGCCACAGGAAATCACAATAACTACAAAATAAAACCTTTTCCGCTTTGCGGGAAAACAAATAATAAAAATTCGACAAAATAAATTAGAGGTTTACAAAAGGCGGGCAGGTGGCAGGCGGGCGGGCAGGTCAGAGGCCGTTGGCACTGCCACGCTGGATCAGTGGCACCTTGCTCAGCTCCACCACGGGCGAGCGTGGCTTGTTCTTCATCTTGGGCACCCGCTGCACCAGCTGCTGGGCCTCGCGGTAGGCATCTCGCAGCTCCTTCTTCCACTGCACCAGCTCGGGGTCGCTCTGCATTCACTCAGGCTCTGTCAGCTCGGGCAGTGCCCACCGGCCCACACCCACGCCTGCACCCAGGACCCCCACTCACATCACACTGCAGAACAAACTGCTTGCCCCCGCGGATCTTGAGCAGGAGGCACTTGCGCTCCTTGATCTGTGTCTCCTCCACTGACTGGATCTCTTCCATGGTCAGCAGGCTCTGCTGCAGAGCGGGGCAGGGGGTGAGGGCAGGTCAGCGGACACCCCATGCCAGCACCCAGCCCTGGCACTAGTCCTTACCGGGGCCTCGCCTTCTCCCCGCCACTCGAGCCGGTTGGGGAACAGGTAGAAGTACCGCCGCTGCCACTGGGTCAGGAAGGGGTTGCCCATCTTGGACATGTAGCCGTGCATGATGCAGTCCTTGCCCAGGGCGTAGTCTGCCATGAGAGCCAACACCAGCCTCAGCCCTGCAGCCTGGCTAATACTCGGGTGAGCTCCCTGACCCCGGCCTGCTCCTCATTTCTGCAGCGCACAGTACACCTGCTGCTTCTCAGGTCAGAGCCTCACCTTCCTCGTGACCCAGCTGCTTGTTTTTGGCTTTTTTGCGGGCCTCTAGCCGATCCGTCTCAGCATTGATGGTGTCGAAGACGGTCTCAGCTACCTCTTGCTGCCACCGCTCGGAGATGGTGAGAGGGAAGTTTCGGTACAGCTCCTGGTCGCTGTCTAGTAACTTTGTGAGGTGGACAGGGCACACACATGTGGACGGACAGAGGTGCCAGAATATCATCAGCCATGGGACTGCCCGGGGCCCTGGAGCAGGGAAGGTCTGGCCCAACTGCCAACCCCAGGGAGGTTTGGGGAGAGAAGCAGTACCCGTGGCATGGGCTGGCATGGAGTGTCACAGGGGCAGAGGAGGGACAAGAACCCACCCAAGCTGGGCCCAGGGCTCCATGCGGTCAGGCAAGGGGCAGTACCTTGATTCCTTTTGTATCTTCCTCATCAAAGGAGCCAATGTCGAAGGCATCGGCAGCATTCACCTCCCCCCGTGGGGGGATGAGAGGGGGTGGGTACTGCACAGAGCAGGTCAGGTGTCAGCATGGTGGAGGGCTACAGGTGCCCCTCCCAGCCCCACACTGACCCTTACCTTCTGCAAGAAGACCATCTGCCAGTCCAGCGAGCGGA